TTTTCTAGCACTGACATGGCCATGGAGCAGATAGAAGTTTTAGAAGTTCATTCATTTTGATAACAGGCAGGTGGCCCATGCTGTTGCTCTAGTTTATGTCACGTTGTTGGGGAGGCTATAGGGAGGCAACCTAAAGTACAGGTCAGAACAAGCCCACACTTTACAGCATTTGTATCTGAAGGGCTGAATTCTACAGCTGATCTTCTAACAGTTTCAAACATGTTTGCCTTAATGGATAGCACTGAATTTCTGATTCTTTTCTCCCAGTTCTGCTGCAGGTCTGATGGTCCCTGTTGTGATGCTTCTGCTTCAGCGGAGCCACTGGTGATACTGATGAGGAAGAAAAGTCTAATTCAGGTACCTGCTCCTCACAAAGTCCTTTGTCACAGAACTGGTTTTCTCTACTTCTTCCTTTCCTTGTTTTGTTGTGTTTTTCTTAAGAGAATAGAGGCCTTCACTCCTGTGACAATAAGGTAGAGTATTGCTGCCATAATAAATCTTTGCTTTTCTGCTGCTCTTCCATGCAGTTCCTTTGCTTTGGAACATTTTACTTGACCCCTCTCACCTGTCCTTGTCCTTTCTTCCCATGTTAGAGGCAGAGATAAGATTGCACCATGAGAATTCCAGAGCAAAGAGGCTTTATGGCTTCCTAATGTATAGTATGTAAATTGACATACCAGTGTCTGACCCTAGAGTGGAATAGTTCAGAATGGAAAATAGGAGAGAGAGGCTTCTGATTGCATTGCTTTGTGAAAAATCCTTTGTAATAGCTGTATGTACTTTACAAGGATTCTAACATTAAAGGTTTAAGCTAAACTGTGCTCCATGGTATTAGGGATGAGAGCTAGACCAGAGCTTCTGGCTCTTCCCAAGGACATATTCCATTGATAGCAGCTTTCTTTGAGGCTACAAAAAGTCAGGTTCATGTATTGCACTGGGTCTGCAGTCACACAATACATATGAACTCAGCTACTGGTATTCAGCCCTGCAGTTTGCCTCTACAACAGGGGGTGGGAGGGTGGTCAGGGAGGACAACACAGACTGGAGGTGAATCAGAGGTTGCTATTTCCTCCTTAGATTGAAACAAGATGTGTGACATGGCCTCTCCCTCTCTGAAGACATGAATGCACATTATCAAGGTTGTAGCAGCAATGATAGTGGGACAGGATTGACAGTGAGGGAGGAGACATGACCCATGAGGCAAAGGCAGGGGTGGGGAAAGAATATGACTTGACCAAATGCAGTTCTTGGTTTTTCTCTTCATGAAACCCTGATATCCACAAGGTTATTTTACAGACATCCCTTCCCTGGGACAGTCCTGCGCCTGAGCTTGATCCTGTGAGCATGTGGATCAATAGAAAAACCATTCCTTTGGATTTTCTCATAGTTGCTTTCCAGTGCAGCATCTCAATTAAAGTGTGTCTGCATGTTGTTTGTCAGGAGATGCTTCTGGTGTTTATAGAGCTGTGCAGAACCTAGCAGGGTGGGAACCAGGCCTACAAGCATCACCAGAATACCAGTGAGCTTACCCAAGCTTCATTGTCAGAGTTCCATTTCTCCTTGATTCTCTCAGAAACAGCTCAAATCAAGGCTTTTTTTCAAGAGCTTATGCAAAGAAAAAGCTCAGAATCCAACAGTGCAAAAAAATGAAACCTAAATGTAAAAATGCTTTTCCTCAGGGAGATACCAATCTTGCTGCCATCAGTGGGACCAGCAGTTTGCCCTGAACTTCATACTGCACCGACCCCTCTGGGGGCACAGAACCTTATCTGCCTGCAGATACAGCGAAAGGAGTATTTGGTTTTCCTGGTACAGGCTTCTAAAAAGAAAGAACCAGTCCCTTGTGGAAATATGTTCATGTTTGCTGACAAGAGCCATCCTCTCTTTCCAGGTTTGAAGAAGTGGTGTTTGCAGTGCAGGAAGGTGATTCTTGCCTCCTGGGATCTCTTTCTCTTGGGGCTGCAGGAACTACAGCCAACTTCTTTTTAGCCTCAATTGGCTGAGGATAAAGAAAATAAACTCAAGGAAAAAAATCAGGGAGGAAACAGAAAAGGGAGAATCAAAAAATCTTCATCTGAAAGAAAAGCTGAAACTTTTTAGAATAAAATAATATTCCCCTATTTAAGATTTTCCGATTTCTGGGACTTTTGAGCTTTTAAAAAGTGCCTTTTCCTATTGAGAAAATTGCTTTCACTTTGCTGCAAGGACCAGAGTTGCGTTTCTAATGATGGCAGAAGCTGAGTGTCGCTGCCGAGTAGCTGGAGTGGGGCTCCGGCTCTCAACGCGTCCCGAGCTCGATGTGATTTGAGATGCAGTTTGCTTTCCTCTCGCTCAGATCTCGGGCCTCCACCACAAACTGTACATGACACAACGAAATTAATATTTAAAAATAATTACTTGCTGCCTGAAGGTAAACAGAAAAAGGGTAAATAATTGATAGCACTGGGACTGCCACGCTGGAAGTCTGCTGAGCGTTTATGATGTGCTGGGAAGGTTCAAAGGGATTGCTCGTCTGCTGCCTCTGAAGGAGGGGTTTTGCTAATCAGTCCAGGGCTTGTTTTGTCAGCCAGCAATGGTTGCAGAGTTTGAAGCGCTGGAATAGAATGCCAGCTTAATTTAGGCGAATCTCGAACTTAATTTGCTAACTTTCCTGCCAAGATTTGCATTGTAAATGATAAGGTGATTTTCATATATATAATATTTTTTTCTTTATCCCGTCAACATCTGAAGGGAAATTTCATGTGGTCTGCTGCCAAGAATGCAGAGGAACTTGCATTTAAGGAGTGCTTACATAACGTGCCACCCTATGACAGTACCTGTCTGCAGAGCTTGCTGATGCCTTGACACTTGGCAGCTATTCACGTTTCAGGCGTAAATATCCCTCCTATAGCCCAACGTCAGAATAACCAGCGTTCAAAGTGGCAGATGACCATAAAGAAAGGTCAGTGATTTCAGACTGATTCATTCCCCCACCACCACCCCAGTCAGAAAACTTTGTGCACTGATTCCTGCATTGAGGCAGAGGAGGGTCAGAATTCCTGGCTCCACACAGGATTTGACAGTTTTCTGGTGTTAAAGCAAAGGATAAGAAAATCCTCTGGCAACAGATGTGGAGAGTCTATAGCAGCAGATCTACAGGGTATTTAAATAAGGTGCCATCCACACCCATGGGGCAGAGACTGTTAGATAAAACTTCTTAAAGGAGAAGAAAACCCAAGCAGATTGTAGGATCTATCAGCAATGCCAGCTGATGAGTGATTCCCAAAGTGTGATTTGCAATGCCTATTTTACTTAGGATTAGAACACGGATTCTTGTCTTTGTGCCCAGTCAGACCTTCATAATGGGAGGTACTTTAAACCCTAGCTCTGCATCTCACTTGCCTTTCATTGCTTGAAAAAGCAATCTAAGCTCTCATTTGGATTTTACAAGGATGTGATCAAATACCACACTAAGGTGTACAAGCAGGAGTGTTGTCTGAAGACACAGTAGTTCTTACACTCTATTGAAGGCTTTTAGTAGAATCCTGGAGACTATTTCTCCAGCTGATGTGCATGTGGAAGTGAACAGGAAGAATGACTAACTAGAAAACATGACGTGCAAAGAGGGACAGACTGAAGTATGTTCTGTTCAGTCCGGAGAAGACAAATGGGAAATGGTAGAGCAGGCATTACATATGTAAAATGTTGCAGCAAAGAGGAGGGAATACTTGGTTCTCCCATATGTTTCTTATAATGGCTTAAACTGGGCTCTAGAGGGGGAAGAAAGGGAAATGCTTCTGATGGCAGAGATAGGTCACAGTCAGAGCAGATTGCTGGCGGGGGCTGTGGGGTCTCTGTCACTGGGGATTAACAACATGTCAAACAAATACTGTCTGTAAGGGATGATTTTCAGAGTACCTCAGCCCTGTCTCTTCCAGACCTGGCAGTCCAGGGCTAAATAATAGAGACACAAAGAAGCTGAGCCCTGAGTCTCGAGCAGGATGTGTGCGCCTGTGTATATTGGCTCCAAGCTCAATGTTTGTGTGAAACATAAACACATTTGAGGGTGCTGAGGCGCTGGCACAGGGTGCCCAGAGGAGCTGTGGCTGCACCATCCCTGGCAGTGCTGAAGGCCAGGCTGAAGGGGCTTGGAGCAAGCTGCTTTAGTGAAAGGTGCCCCTGGAATGCTGTGATATCAAGGGAAAGGAGGTTGCCACTTTTATAACTACTATTGCAGCATTTAGATGTTCCTGTCTGTCCTAGCTCCACAGATCCTTACTTACCAAAGAATCCCTGTTCTCACTGATAGAAATAGAATAGATAGAATTTCTTATCCTCCTGATTTCAGAGGAAGGCCTAAAAGTGTGGCTGGCTCAGAAAGCAGAAGGCAGCGCATCTCTTTCATTGTATCATTGCTGGGGCAGGGAACTCCTGCTTTTTTCATGCTTGGGGTTCCCAATGCAAGAAAAGGCAAAACAGAAAAAGAGGCAAAAGAGAGAAGTGTACTCTGAACTCTGTTCCAGCATTCAGGTCACCACCCTTCTCCTTTCTTCCCCACGCCCAGGACCACACACTTGCACTCGCACCTCCAGGCATGCCTGTCTGCCTGCCAGCACCGCGGAGGTTACCGATCTCATCGCACCTCTGCTTATCTCTCAAAGGGAAATGTCCTAAAAGAAACCCCAAGAGCTCGGTGCTGCAGCCCAGGCCCTGCCACGGAGCACGGCCACACTGAGCTGTGCCCAGGCTGGGGAAAGAAGCATCTGAGGCGGCAAGAAACAAGTTCTTGTTGGGAAAGTGGCTGGTGGGTTTTATAGGAAGGAGCAGTAAAAGGCGAGTCAAAGTGTTTGCTGCTTTAAGGCGATGGGAAGCATTGAAGCAGGCTGGGGCATCTCTGGCCAGTACAAGAATCATAGGGGGAAATGAATTTGATCTTTCTCTGACAAGACTGGTTTATATTGTTTGCAGGAGGGTTTTATGGGACCCAGGCCTTTCTGTGTTACCAGCCTGAGGAGCAGGGAAACAGGGATTCTTCCTTGAGCGCTGATGTGAACAAGCACAGGACAGACCCAGCATCAGATTTCAGTATCTGCTGCCAGCCAGATGTCCGTGCAGGTGCTCTGGCCCTTCCGTTCTCTCTGAGAGCTTGCTGCTCTGAGTGGGATGTCAGGTTTTAGCTTATTCATCTTTTCTGTTTGATCTCTCTAGAAGAAAGTAGCCACCACGGTGCTGAGAGCTGCTGCTGAGTCAAACCAGAGAGGTTCAGTCTGAGTTTCAAACACCCATAACACATCTGACAGGCAAGGTTTGGCAGGTACTGAACAAGCCAAAGCTTCCCCAGGTGCCAGGATACAGTTTACATTTATTTCATAACACATTTTACCTCCCACATGGGCAGTACCCCCCCATTAAGAGCTGTAGCCCGCTGTAGCTCTACCTTGTGGAATACTCTTAAGTGCAAATAGAACCACTTGGAATGGGACAAGAGGTTGCTGCCTCAAAGGGGATGTTTTCTCCTTCTGTTTTGCAGCAGTGAGGAATAATTCTCTGAGCTGGGCACTTAGTACTGGACATGACTGACCCTTTATCAGCAAGTTCCCATCTGATCAATCTGCCACATGGTGGAGGAAGAGCCTGGAAGGATCCCTTTATTATAAAGTAGGTCTGGGATACAGGGACACTTTCCAACAGTTTGATCAACTGCTGAAATCCTTTCAGTCTGAAGTAGTAAGGGGATGTTCTTGTTCTCCAGCTCATAAATACAGGTATTTAAAGTGCAGTCTTTTCTAGAAACTCACTCTCAAAACTGTATTGAAGAAGGCCTCTTATAAAGGATGTGCTCACTCATGGTAAAGTATTACAGACACAGAGAAATTATGCTTTTTATTTCAAAAGAAAAAGGAAAATGCTGGGAATAGCTGCTGGGCTACACTGGTTTGTCTCTAACAGGGAATAAATTGGCATTTCTACAAACAGGGAATGGTATTGCTAATGGGAATAGGAGATTTCTGCTGGAGCTGTAATTTGGTGTATTATGAGATTAGTCCTGTAGAAAGGACAGGAGTGGAAATAGCTGCTGAGCATTGATTGAATCAAAAACTCAAAGGTATCACCTTGAAGAGAACTTGCCTTGAAAACACCGAGGCTTTTGGAGGTGGATGCCAGAAGCTGTGAAGCCAGCCATCCCAGCTCAGCTTCCCAGTAATACATGCAGTAAAGAGCTTCTGGTAGTGAAATACCCACTTGTGAACTGTTCATGGGTGTAAGAAAAACGGATCTGAGGTCTTGCCACCTGAGTTCCCTTCCTCTCCCTCAGTAGGTTATCAGCATGAAAACAGGAAATGAATTGGACACCATTAATAAAACATGAAGCCTTCGTGTTCAGGCTCTGTGCTCTGTTGTTCAAGTGTAGAAGACACTGTGTGAAGGAAACGGGGGAGTCAAATCCACAAGTTCATTTTACTCTCTTTAACTGCAGAGCAAACTTTGGCTCAGACTTGGAACTAACCCTCTCTTTTCTACCCCCGAATGCATTGAAAAGCTTTTAAACCCTGGTACAGAAATCCTGAAGGGTCGTTACTGAACTGTGAGTGGCCTTTGAGAACATGAAAGATTTCCCTAACAGATTTCCCCAGTAAGATTGCCAATACCAGCTTTCCCTCATGTGTGGCTTTCACTGGGGTGCAGAGTTTTAGACCTTGGTTTTGTGCAGTTGCTTTTGGAGCTCTTTACGTGGCACAGTTGCTTTTCACTGTGATAGGTGCCCCTTTTTGCCAGTTGGTTGTGTTTGTGACTTTAGGAATGTCCCAAAATACGTACCTTGAGCTCCTCTGGGGGCTCATTTTGCTACAGGGGAATGTATATTCCTCTGTCTCATAATGATGGTTCCACTAAAGAACAAAGGATTAACCTCAAAGCCTAGAGGTCTATATGAAGTAGACTGAAAGACCCCCCCAGCACCATCCCCTTTTCTGTCTGTATGTTAAAATCATCTCATGAAAGCCTATGGTCACAGCAGTATGCAGCCCAAGGATGAGAACTCACAAACCTGTTATGAAAAAGTCATGGGAACAAAAGCAGAAGACCCGGTTCAGCCAGACAAAGAGGCCTTCTGCAGCTATAATAAAGGCTTGTTTTGCTCTATGGGGGAGTTTAATTGCAAAATACTTAGCATAGGTGAATCATGAGGAGCCTAACCATAGGAAGAGGTTAACCACAGTTATAGGAAAGATTCATCTGAGGCTACAAGAAACAAGTTCTTGGTGGGAAGAAACCAGAAGACTCTCCCCAGCTGTGGACAGGCCTACTGAAAGTGGCTGAGTTGAGAGTCCAAAGCAGGAATTCTCCTCCTGACCTTGCTCTAGTGGAAGGTGTCCCTGCCCGTGGCAGGGGTTGGAACTGGATGAGCTTTATGGTCCCTTCAACCCAAACCAGGCTAAGATAATTCCTTAGGGAATAGCCAGGTACAAGGTCAGGTGGAAAGATAAGGTGTTTATTGGGAACTTTTATCAGGTTTAGTGGGAATTTTTATCAGGTTGTTGTGGCTGGAACCACCAGTTCCTCTCCCATAGGAGACAGCGCTTCACTGTAAGGTCTGCCACAAGTGCAACCTGGGGATTATGAGGACTTCCTGATTTTGTACCAGATTGGTACATTCTTGGTGAGAAAGAAATGTGGAATCACTGCTTCCTGGGTCCCGTAGGAGCTCCGGTCTGGTAGAGACTTTAGGCCTCTGATTGTTTCTGTTAGTCTCGTTTGAAAGAGCCTGTTTGTGAGATGTGCCTCTTGCTTAACTCCCAAGGTGCAGAAGTAAAACCTCAGAGTGGGTGGGAAGCCTGGACAGGGAGAGAATCCCCATTCCCCAGGTTACAGATTCAGTGTTAGAGTTCAACTCAATTAAACCCCGTTTTCTTGGCTGCCACGGACAAGTTTAATGATAGCAAATTGGATTTGACTCATGACAATACAAAGGGGCCTTTTGGTAAATGTACATTTCCAGCCAAAATCATTAGTTCAACTAATAGAGAAGGATTTTGTTTTCATTGACTTTTATGGTACCATTTGGTTTACTTCTTCCTGCTGTCTGGCTCCATCCATAGCAAGCACAGCCAAGCTCTAATTCTCAGCTGTTTGAAGTTACTCAGTCTCATGAGAGAGATGCCAGGCAATTCATTGGATGATATTCAAAGTATTAGTGAGGTTAATTCTAATTGCACAGAAGGATCTATATTAACATTTCTGGTTTAACACATTTTATGTTACCTGGGGTTTAGGTCATATGAGTTGCTTTTCTACATGATTTCATTTCTGTTGATGGAATATCTTAATGTGAAATACTAAAACTACTTTACAACCAGGTCAAATGCTAAAGAACTTAGAATCCTTTGGTTGTGTTAGAGTATTTTGGGAAGTATTCTGAGCCCTCAGAATGGCAACCTGATACTGAAACCCCAAAACATTGAAGCTGTTCTTTGCATAGGTTTGTGTTGAAAGGGACCTTAAAGTGCATCCAGTTCCAACCCTCTGCCATGGGCAGAGGCACCTTCCACTATCACAGCGCAGAAGTTGTGCCTAAGATCTCATCTAAATCTACCCTCTTCCAGTTTTCCCTCAGAAGGATTTGTCTGAAAATACCCGTTTCCAGCGTTCCCATCCAGCTGTAGCCAGTACTCAGACATGGGCCATGGCAGCACCTGAAACCACCCAAGATGCTCAGGATAGTCCCTGGGGGTGCTGCACACAGCGTGGGTGCTGGAAGCCGCAGAGCAGCCCCACTCCAGTGCTGGGAGCACGTGCAGGGGCTGCACAGCCCAAAGGCTTGGGGTTGGGGAGGGGATCCATGGCAAGGGAGGAAAGGCAGTGAAGGGGCCCATTCTCTCTGTTGGTCTTTGGTGTGCTTCTTAGCACCGACTTGTGTGGCTTCCATCTGAGCAGTCTTGTACTCTGGGGAGATACAGCACCTTGTAAATGAAAGAAACAGATGAAAATGCTGAGAAACACTGCTCTGAAAAGCCTCCTTTGGATAAATCCTTCCTATTCAGGAGCCACCTTCCCTTTGTATTCTGAGGATGTTGGGAATATAAACAGGAAAATTCTGTGAAGAAGAATGCAGTTGAAGCCTTGCTGTTTGGGCTCAGCGGAGTGGACATCTGAGTGACCATGGTCAATTGAGTGAACCATAGAATCATAGGATACCAGGCTGGAAATCTAACTGAATGTGTTCATGGGCGTGGGTGCCTTAATGGGATTGAGGGGATGTGGGACTGAGCATTGTTCAGTAAGAACAGGAATCACTTAGATTAAAATAGCATCTGGAGCTGCCTGCAAAGACACTTATCCTGGAAAAGGAGATAGTTGGGAATAGCCTTCCTTACCCCGTCAGAGTGTTTCTAAATAGCACATATCTGTTCTTTTTGAAATACCAGTATGTTAAATGTCCAAACTGTTCTGTTACATTACCTGTGCCCACTTATTTTCCAGGTGGAAACCAGTAGTGGATCACTAACCAGCATCTGGGAAAGACCACTCGCTCCTGCCAAAGCTCTCCTGCTAACACTGCACCTGATTTCCTTGGACCTGTGAGTAGGTTTGCAGCCTCTCCCAGCAGGAGCCTGGTTTGTGCCAGTTGGTTTTTATAGGGTTCCTTTTCTTTTTGCATCCAGCCTAAACTTTCCCTTCCCTAGCTCCAGGTCAGTGCTTCTCCTGCTGGTGTCTCCTGCCCCTCCCTCTCCTCATCCTGCTGCTCATCCCCATTAACTGCAAGGTAATTACAGACTGAGCCTGTCCCCTGAGCCTTTGTTTCTCCAGACTATGGCTTAAACCCTACCCTCCTGCAGCAAACCCTTCTGAGATCCTCAGGTTTGGTCCTTTTGGGGCTGCTCTTGCTGTTGTATCTGGTTCTCAGCACAAGGTTCTTTGATGTTATAATGTTGTAATGGCAGGAGACCCTGGTTAAGCAAAAACAGAACCGGCCTCCTTCCCTCCCTCCCTCTGGGGGTTGCAGGTTATTAACTGAGCTTTGCTCAGCTGAGCAGCATGGAACCGTCAGGTCTCTGCCCGCATTCCTGTCTCGCAGCTTCAAAGTTCTCTTACTATTTAAGAAAGCAGGAACAAGGCAGCTTACATGGTCCCAGCAGATCCTCGTCCTGGCATGGCTGCTGAGCTTTTGAAGTTAGAGGCTCCCAAAATCCTGCTGTCTGTGTCTGTTCCCCCAAGAGGAACAGGTCTGGAAACTAGATCCTCTGTGGGGTCGGTCTGCACCTCGCTGCTGGCTTGACAAAGCCAACTCCAAGGGGCAAGCAGCCCCTGACAGCCATGGACCATCAGGGAATCCTTGCTGTGAGCCCCAATCCCTGCCTGCTTGCCAGCCTTCACCCCTGTTTTGCCCTATGAGACTTCTTTGTTTAGTGTTACCTGCTTTAAGTTCATTATGCAGCATTATATCAACTGGTTTATTGTGATAGAAATTCATTCTATCACCTACAAAATCAGTGTCTGGAGTGAAAGAAGTCTTTTGCACTTGCTTGGCACAACCTACTTTTAATAAGCCCCTGTTACACAGCAGTTATTGGACCTTAATCCCAGGTGTTTCATACTCTTCACTGTGTTGTGTGGAGCTGATACCAGGTCAAATGCTTCACAGTTTCTTGCTTCTCCCTTTCCTGGTCATCCTGAAAAGCAGCAAAGTTGCTTCATGTGCTCACTGCTGGGAATCCTGCCAGAGCGTCATCCCCATCCCATGCTCTCCCTTTTGGTATGTGGACTACCCTTGAAGCTACACTGACGACAGGCACCAGATCTGTGGCACCTTTCAGCCCTGTAGCAGGGACAGGCAGCAGTATCAGAGCCAGGCAAAGAGTTTGATGCTTTAGAAGCAGGTTGGTTGGTTTGGGATCTTTCCATTTGAAGGCCTCTGGCACATTAAGAGCCCTCCCCTGAGTTTTTCATCCTCTTTCAAGCTGCTGTAATAAACCTCTTTTTCAGTTGGCTCAGCTCGCAGTCTGTGGTAGGTCTCTTGCACTGTGCACATGCGTGCCCTGAGACACTGAGCATCACCAGACTCAGCTCACACACACACTGCACAGGAGCTGCTGGCCTGCAGCATGCTGTGGAGTTGAGTGGGTCTCCCAGCAGCATCTGAATGACCAAAAGCTTTGTGTCACATACGCAACCTGCCCTGCACCCTGCTCTGCTCTGCGCAGCACCTACCATTTGTCTCCAGCAAAGCAGACTGCAGTAAGGCTTGGGAGTGCATTTTATGTTGTGCACAGCACGGACTGGGTGCAGTCCAAGTCTTCTACAGCTGTAGCATAACCAAGGGAGGAAACACGAGAGGCTACATCTCCCTGAACAACAGCACCACTTACAGCCTGGTCTCAGATGCCAGCCTGGGGCCGGAGCCACAGAGCAGCAGCCTGCCAGCACCAGGGAGGAGGCTGGTATCTGCTTTTCTGTGTGCCTTAGGATTAGTCCACTGCAGCTGAGCATGTCCAGTGGCATCTGTGGCCCGCACCAGTCTGTGCTGATGATGGTCTCTGCTGAATGGCTCTTCTTGCCTGGGGGTGCCTGGGACATTCAGCTCAGGGGGGTGCCTGTGCCCTGGGTAGAGGCTGCAGAGTGGAGCAATAATTTGAGATACAGCTTAAAAACATCTTGGGAAGCTTCTGTCTGCTGCAACAAAGAAGGTGCCTAACAAAGAGCAGAGAACCATTGCTGGTGCCTTGGTTTGCCATAGTCTAGGACAGTGACCTGCCAGGCAGTTACCTGGGCACCGTTTGAGGGTCAGAATTCAGCCTCTGCCAGACTATCCCAGCAGCAGAAAGTATCTGAAGAATCCCACAGACTCACACCCAACTTTCAAGGCCAGCATTTCTCCCGGCATACACAACCCTGCCCAGGAGGCTGCAGGGCTGCATTATCTGGAGTTGGAATCTGGACATGAGGAGGCAGGTGCTGGAGAAAACAGGCAGGCACATGAGTAGTCAAAGGCAAGAGCGTTTCAGGTCTGCACACTCAGCATATTGCATCCCATCCAAGCAGAGCTGGGATGTTGAAGAGGGAAGACAGGGAACAACCGGGGATGCGTTGCAGGAATCTGCCAGGCTGAGCATCAGGAGGAAGGCAGTATCAGTGCTCTGTCAGGCAGGGGAACTGCTTAAGGTGAGACTGGAGGATCAAGAGGAAAATTACAGTGGAAAAAACAGTCTATTGGGCTGCCATTGCTTGGGGCTCTGATGAGGGACCCTCTGGCCCCTCTGTGTTTGCACCATTGCTGGAGGCACACAAGTCTCAACAAGGGAGGCTGATCGCAGGGCATTCAGGGCAGTCCCTCTCCAGGGCAGATGATCCTCATGGGTTCCTATGTCCTCAGTGGGCTCAGAGTGGCCACCACAGCAGCCCCACTGCTATGCCACCCTGCCCAGGAGAGGACAAACCAAACCCAAGTGCTATGGAATGTACCAGGCAGCAAGGGATGCAGCCAGCACAGGCAGGGGTGTCCCTGTGGGGTGCCTGGAGAGCTGGGCTTAGCACCTTGTTAGGCCTTTCCTTTATATGAGTGTGAATCCTTCAGATGGAGTTCTGGCACAGAGAAAGTTGATGCCATTTAAATGGAGTGTTTAAGGGCTGCCCTGCTCCAGGAATGGGCTCAGGCTATGGTTAAGTCAGCATCAGGTTAGCAGCAGCAGAGATGGTGCCTGTGCTGGGAAGCACTGCCAACACAAAGCTCTTAATAGTCTTTCAGTGTCTGCAAGGCCTTAAAATCAATCAAAGGATTAATGAAACAAAGCTGGTTTTATGATGCATGATCCAGCTTTGTGCAATTGGATCTAACTTTGCTTAGGCCCTTCTTTGTGGCTGGGTTTGCTGGTGTGCTGCCTGCAGCGCGGCAGCCTGGGGAGGAGCAGGGCTCCCACCGCTGCCACGGGAGGGATGCCAAGGAGCACAGCTCAGCACTGCTTATGCAAGCCAGTCACTTCCCTCCCACTGGTGTCTTAATTCAGCATTTCTCCTTGCAGAAGCTCTCTGCAGTCAGGCGCTGACCCCTTCTCACCAGCTCTGTGTGGCTTCTGTGACATCTTCTTCCAAGGAACAGGTATTTGTTGTGGTTTCCCTTGTCTCTTAGACCAGTGGCTCCTGCATGTGGGTGCTCAGGTCTGAGCTGGAGCCTGGGAGCAGATACACCCTTCTGCTATACGCACTAGTGAGCCTCGTCCTCAGAGGACCACCTTTGGGATGTCACCAGTGACGGAGATGACAAGTCTTCCTCAAACACACACTCTGTCTCCTGGCATTTTCATTCCCAATTCATTTAACAGTGATGACAACAGGAGCAATCCACCTATGTGACACCAGGCAACATCCCTGTTCCAAACCAAGCCTTTGCCCAAGCAGTTTGCTTTCTCTCAGGCTGAAAGTTACTCCTAGTGACAGTGTGTGCATGAGAGCTCTGTCAGGTCCCTGGTCCTGTCTCAATTACCCTAAACACACTGTGGCTGCACAGTGCGGGCAGACCTGGATGTTTCCACTGTACCTGCTAAGCAGTCACAGTGCCAACGTGATGTGAGGAATAATGAATTCTCCCCTCCAGAACCAAGAAGTTTCAGTTTTCTGGCAAAATTCTCCTCTGCCCCACTTTTTTGCAGGCTCACTTCACACTCTGTGGCCAGGTTGGTTCAGTCCAGCAACGCAGAGGTCGTGATGCGACATAACACGAAGTGATACCTGGCTGCTGGATTATCCCACTCTCTGGTATCTGCGTTGACTCAAGAGCCTCACAGCTTTAGGCCTGTCAGCCACCAGGAGTGCAGCTATGCAAATCTGCTGCAAGAAAATGAGGTCTATAAATAAGAAACACCTTGGGCCTCCACATCATTGCAAGGTAATCCATTGTCTTGTCTGAAATGTATCTGGTTCTGTTTCATGCTTCTGCATGGAAGTTACATGGAAAGAAAAGTACCCAGGACAAAATCCAACCTTTACTCACCTGACCTAAAACATGGAGTGGAGGGGAAATGTTTCTTGGCTGAAGCTGGAACTGGCCCAGCCCTTGGATTCCACTCTGTGCTGAGTGAGTGGTGCTGTAAGAAACACTTCTGCTTCTTCTGCCTTCTGTGCAGTGGTTGTCTCCTTCCCTTCTTTAAAACTTATCCATCCTGTTTGCCCAGCAAGGGGCTACTTTAGGTGTCAATGCTAACAAACAAACAAAAAGGTTTGTTAAAACCCAGGCTGTCCCTAAATTGTACTGCCTTTAAATCTTTCTAAACTGAATGCATTGGCTCTTGGGGGGCACCTCTCTCCTGATCCCTGCTTTGGGTGGCCCAGTATTCTTGGGAGCAGAGATCACAGAAATCAGGTGAAATTACTTGATTCTCTTTCTGTGCTGGTTGTTGAAGCATTTCCACACCTGGAAAATATTCAAAACTGTGCAAAAAGACTGATGAAGGGTATAGAACAGTATCCATAGGAGGCACAGCTCCATAGGCTGTGGTTCCTCAGCATGGAAAGAGGTGACTGCAGGACAAAATGACAGCAGTCTCTGCAGTCGTGAGTAGCATGAAGAAATCACCCAGAGCTGATTTGCTTACTGGCTCTGGTTCTTCAAACAGAGGAAGGTGGCTCTTTGCACAGTGTGTCATTAATCTGCAGGAACCTTCGCTGCAGAATGTGGGATGCTGAAGGTTTCCATAAATTGAACACAAATAAATAATAAACTGGACAAAGTCATGGAAGGGAAGAAAGAAACCTACCAGCTATTGGGTAGCACACCTCACTTGTGTCATGGGAAATCTCTGCACATTATCTGCTCTGGGACAGTGTTCTGGAGAGGCATTGCTGCAAGCTTTGTGCTGTTCTGACAGTCACCTCTGTTGCCGGACAGGGTATCATTGCTTTGACCTCCTATAGGCATTTGATGTTACCTTCCTCTGCCTCTCTTCTCCCATGATTTCCATCCCCATCACCTTTTTCTAAACCTCACAGATTCAGTGTCACAATTAAGTTCTGCACTGAATATATTTTTGCTTTGAGAAGCGTCCAAACAATTCTTTGTGAAAGTGCCTTCTGGCTGCCTGTACAGCATTCTGAACAGGACAAGCCTTTAGAGAGGCTGGCAAGTCATATAAATAGCAAATAGATGGTTCTGAGAGCTGAAGTTTCCCTGGGAAGCCTGAATCTCTAGTTCTGTAACAGCTTGGTTATCAAACAGATGATTTACATCTTATTAGGTATTTCCATCTGTTGATAGAAAAACGCTCTATTGCATAATCTCTCTTGCTCCTGATTCAGTTCTCACCATTGCCACAAGTGCCTTTGGGCCCCTGGACCAGCCTGTTTAGATAATGAGCTCGGAGCCAGTGGCACCTTGGGGTGCTCAGCCTGGGCCTTGGCAGAGCCGCCTGCCCCTGGGCCACTGCCAGCAGGCACCCGGCTGCACGCCCCAGGGACAGCTCCTGCCTGCTGGTGCAGCTCCGGAGCACCCACCTCGGGGCTCGGTGCCCGCTGGGCTCAGTGCCAGCCACTTCTGAGGATGTGTTTTTACAGCTTGGATGCAAATCTCGGTCGCTCCTGTTCCAGCATCAGTTGGTTCAGTTTTGGTCAAGCTTGTCCCAAGGACAGGATCTGTCTTTACTGCACTTGCAGAACTTTGCAGTCCAGTTGCCTGCAGATGTGCAGCCACCAGGAAGCGAGAGTGCCTGCAAACCTGAAGCTCACGTCGTGTTTCTCTCCTCCTGCATCCATTCCACTTTGCCAGCCTGTACATGGACTGCTCTGCTTCTGGAGGATGAACTGAAAACCAAGCAGTGCCCATAGTAATGCATCTGTTTGTTGATACAAATCCACATCTCCAAAGCAGCCTGAGAACTTTAATTACTCCAAAGCATCCCAGAATGCATTGCTTGGTATCAGTCACTGGGAATTTATTATCCTTACATGGGAAACAAAGAACCTGGAAACTGTATTCAACAGGCAAGCAAAACAGGGAATATTTTAATCAGCAAAACCAGGGGAGAGTGCTGAGATGAGTGAAAAGAGCAGGGGAATACTGGGCTCAATGCCTGATTCCTAATCCCTAAACTGTCTTACTATAGTATTGTGAAAGCCAGGAGGAATAAACCTAATGCCACAGCTTCTTGCCATCAAGAAACTGCGTATTAATACAGTACTGCTAAGGTAATTAACCAAATCAGACTTAGTCCACTGCTGAAAAGGATTTCTCCCCACAGGGATAAGCAGATGTCTCAATCTAATTATACAAGTTATTTAATCAGAACCAGAGGTTGGGTATCTAATGAAAATACTACCTAATGTGGGGAGAGACGTTGTAGCTCTGAAGCAGTGCAAGCAGAGGGGGATACAGGCTTCCAAACTGGTGCAGTTTCTGATGCTCTTCTGCTTTTTTTCTGTACCTGACTCTAAGATCTCAGGATAGGAATGTGGGAAAAAAATCCTTTGTCACATTCTCCTCTGAAAGTCATCAGTGCTTCACACACCCACACTGCTGACACAGGAACAAGCAGCTGTGTTTTATTGGAGGCACTTGATAGCTCCAAGTGTTACTGTTTGTCAGCCTTGCTTCACCTGGGTAAAATCTGTACCAGATGCTTGAAGCCTGCCAGTTGTTCTCTGTGTGTAGCTGACGGTGGGTGTGCAGCTGTTAACATCTGGAAAGCACTCACACTGCAGGCTTGCAGGAGGGGTGCTCACCGTGGTCTCAGGGATGGGCAGAGCCCCTGAACCTGTGATTCTTGTGATATACAGGTGTCTGAAATGCAAGTGGAGGATCACTCCCACAGGAGTCACTGCAATGAAGGCTCCCAGGATGGGACACATGGATGCTTCAGCTCCAAGAGGGCAGAGGAGCTGAATTCATTTCATTTCACTATAATGGAAACCCAGGTACTCCTAACAGTTGGCAATAACGTAGTTGCATGCAAGGACCTTTCCCATGTGCTTGAAGGTAGCTGCTCCCATGCAGTCTCCCAGGAGAGCACAAGGCTTCAGGCAGGACCATCCCTCTCTGTGCTGGGCAGTGCTCACTCCAGCTTCCTGCCCATTTCTCTGTTTAGCATGGTCCATAGATGAGGGTCTTCTCCCTTGATTTCCTCCTGACATCCTTGTCTGCATCTCCACCTCTGCAGCTCTGTTCCTGATGCTGGCCAAGGCGTGCTGCTCCTCTTGCCAGCCCCCTCCGTTACGGGGCCAGCCTGGCCAGCAGTGCTGGGTTGCCTAGTGATGCACTTCTGGCTGTCCCATCTCATTAAGCTGTTCAAGCTGCATGCATCCATGAAGAAGTCAGGAGGGAACGCTGGCCCTGGCTGCTCTAATTGGCTTCTTGCATGTGTGTGCACATGCATTGCAGATAGTGTTGAGTCTTCTCGAGCAAACACTGATGGGCAAGGAGTTAAAATGTACAGCTCCGTGGCCAGCTAGTACCTGCTTTGGAAGCTTTGTTATTTACATGTGTTTTTCTTGATTAGTTTCAATGGATCTTAACTTTATATGTTGTCCAGTTTAAAGAAGTTCATGTGTTTCCTCTGTATATGTATGGACAGTCACATGTAGAAAGACCAGGCAACCTTCATGCTCATTCTTCATTCTGAAGCACAGAGCACGTTTGTAACAGCTGAACTGAAGAAATATGGCATTTCTGAACGTGTACTTGTAGGCAAATGGGTTGTGATATGCTGTGAGTCTGAATGAAAGAGGGGAGGAAATGGAGTACACAGGCCACTTGAATCGATGCAGGTATCAGTTCCCTTCTTTAAGACTCAGCTCTGCAGAGACATGTTTGCACAGTGTAGCTTCTTTTTCTTCATGTAGAAATCTGCACACAAAAACTCATGGGCAAAAATGCTGTGTTCTTGGACCCAGAGCTGGCAGAACCACAAACTGAACCCAGATCAGGGCTGGTACATGTTAACTTTCTTCTCTGTGAGCTTGTAGCTGTCCAGAAACAACTGAAGCTGAGGTGAGGCACAGCAGCCATTGGAAAGCTGACCCTGGCTATTAGAGAATCCCACTGCGAGGTAGTGTTCATGCAGGGGGTTTAAACAGTCCTGAATTGCCCTGAAAGGGAATTTACCAGACAATAGAAAAGGGATTGACAGAAAAGAAATAACGATGAAATGTGATGTCTGTTTAACCTGGTTTTCTTCACTTTCACACTTTGTTTGGTGTTGTGACTTCCCGTTGAGTTCTTACTGAGTGTTCTTCTCTCTTTTTAGATCCACCTTGACTGACTGATACAATCTGCCAGAGGCTTGCAGGCTCTTGCCCTCCTCAATCCGCTGCCCTTTCCCTGGGAAGGACAGATGTGCACATCAGCAGATGAACCTGCATCTGAGCGCTTCCATGACGTGACCACCACCAGAGCGTTACCACCTCTGCAGACTACAGCAAGAGCAAAGCACCTCTCCTGCGTTGCTGCTAAGTTCTGTTGATGAGTTCCTAGGAAATGGTGACCCAAATAAATGGGACTGGGAAGAAGAGTGTTCAGAGCAGTAAGAGTGAAGAGGGGACCCATGACTGTGCCATGACTTGAGAAAAACACTGCATCTCGAGGGCCTGTTGGCTGCAGTGGGAGTTTGTTGGCCCACGGTGCAGCTAAACACAATACACAAAATACAAGCTGTGGCACAGATCAGAGCTCAGACGAGGCAGTCCTGTAACCAGTCTGAGAAGTGCTGGGCCCTCACCAACCGGCTACTTGCAACACAAGAGGAACAAAGGGAGATTTGACTTTGAACTGTGCTGTCCTATGTCCAGAAGACCAGTGGCATTATTTTACTCTGTGTAAATAATACACTTCTTTTATCACCTGTACCTATTCCACACCATGTGAACAAAAAACTAGCTGCTTATGTACTGTAGAGAACGTGGCTTTGTGGCATCAGACCCCATGCAAAGACGTCTGTAGTGTTGCACCAGATGATGGCATTTATCTTGTTCTTGTAACAAAGCAGGATCAATTCCTGCCCTGTCAACTGTGCGGTCCAGTGTGACACAGGCAACCTGCATTCAGTCCTCTGACTTCTTTGAACACAAATAGTTTATAAAAGGGAGATTGTGGAACGGTTCTAAGATGTGCCCACTTAAAACCAGCCTTGTGGAGCTGTGACTTAATCCCTGCTTATGAAGATTTCTCATCTAGAAGCAAAACTGTAAGTGTTGGGAATGATCTGGAGTCTGTCATTTCAGATGGTGATGATCACCCTTTGAAAATCCAATTAATTAAAGTCTGTTCAGCTTGGAAAGTGAAAGGCTCAGGGTTGTTTGTTTAGAGGGAGCAGCAGGATGAATGTTTAAGGTAAGATACAGGAGCAAGGTTTTGGTGGTAACTACAGTGTATGGCCACTGGGAGGATGGCCACTCGGTCTGTTGTCCAGAACCAGCAGAAGTCATTCTCTGCAGACAATGCATCTCCTTAAGGCAGGTGCTGATGGGGAAGAGGGACTGTGTTCAGAGGCACAGGCCCCCTGGCAGTGGCACCCAGTGTGGCCATGCTCCAGGCTGAAAGCAGACGTGGAATTAATACCTCCTCCCATCCAAGTCTGTGGAGAGCTTTTTACTGGCGTCAGTGGCAACAGGATCAGAGTAGAGTCTTAAGGCTCTACCCCTGGAGCTTCGAGGAGTTTAATGGAATAACATCTAAGTTGTAATTAATTGGCTTCTGCTTCTCCTGCAGGAAAGAGTTAATGAAGGCAAAGCTTGTCTGGCCAAGGGGCTGGTACAGCTCCAGTAGAGCTATGACTCACAGATTGAAACTCCTGCCAAAGCACGGAGCAGGTTCCTCATCCTCAGCTCCTCCTATCCCAACAGGAATAGTGTGAATGGGTCCAGCATCACAGGAGGAAAGGTTTGTCCCTTACAGCCCTTGCTCTTCCCACTCAGTTCAGTACTATTTGCGTGCACAAGCAATCATTATCTGCCATATAAGACTTCACACAGTTAGCTATGTTATGCTGTGTCTATGATTTGGACACACACCCCCCCCCCCCAGTAGTCTCATGAGGGCTCTCTACAGGACTGAAGGAAGTAGAGGTTAATAGAATAATTTAAATGGGTAAGGAGATGGCCAAAGGGAGGGCAGAAACTAATAGACTGCTGGGAAGCAGCACACAAGGAGAAGTTCCTGGGTGAGCTGGTCAAGATGAGTCGTGGAACTGACCAGGTCTGGTATTGCCATGGAGCTTGACTCAAGAAGAGGAGTGGAGAAAGGAAATTTGTTGGTGGCATCATCCATATAAAACTGCCCACACTTCATGACGTGCTGTCCTGGGCGTGCTCCTCCACGCCAGCTGCTCACCACTTCCCTCTCTCTGGAGAGAATGAGACCAGTGAAGAGCCACCAGCAGCATCACCTCTTCCTGCTGCTGAGTTTCAGCCTACACTGCCAAGCCCCCATTCCTGGTGTGAGAAGAGCGCAGGCAAGGAGTGGCAGAGATGGGTAGGCTGGAGGCTGATGCCTGCTTGCTGCTCTCCAGAAGCACATGATCACCTCAGAGGTGGATGTCATTAACAATGGATGTTTTCCTTCCCTCTGAACTCCTGTGCTCTGCCTCGGTTATGACAACAGGGCCAGTGATGAGTCACAGGAAGTGCAAAGATTAGGACAGCATGACAGAGCAGGCAGAAGGCAGGGAGGGCTTTTGGTCTTGACGATGAGCTGAATGATACCACCTTCAATCCAGACTAGCAAAGCATCAATCTATGGATTAGCACCAGTATAACAGATCAAAGCCTGAGGTGGGGAGTTTAAACAAGGCATAATTTGTAGTAACAGCACAATTACAGGGATTTGTCCCTTCCTTTCCCAGCCCTTGCACCTCAGCCTTGCCACAAGGAACAGTTCTGCCTCCCCGTTCTGCATCTGTATTGCTCAAAACAGCCCTTTTGGGGAGCCAGCGTGGGAAGTGTGGCCTGTTGCTATTGAAATAGCAGCCCTGGGACTGTGCATCATTGATCACTGTGGAATAGGGAGAATAAAGGGACACACGTCCAGCTCCAGATCTGTTTGGGAAATGAAAGTATGAGCCATTGTCCATGCAATTCCCTTTTCCCAGCAATCAGACTGTGCAGATTGCCACACTGACTGTAATCACCACTGATTTTGAGGGACAAGCACATGATTGCCCCTGAGTTTGACCAGCTCCAGGTGTGGTGATTCCTGACATCCCGTTACTGCACTCCAGAGGAATAACGGCTGCTTCTCCTCCATGTTCGAGTTGGTGTTAGATTGACAAGATCAAGCGACAGCGCAACCATAGACACCTTTATCTGCTGTATGCATAATCTTTCTTGCTGAACCCCCGCCAAACTCATCCCCAGGTCTTATCTTTTCTGAACTGAGTATTTATTCATGTGGGGTTTTTATGTAAACTGCAAAGAGCCTCATTAAATGGAAACCTTAACTCAAAAGCTTCATTATTAAGGTGGAACAGAGCTCGGAATGCGCAGAGTGGAATTACCAAGCTTTTGGGTTATTTTGGGAAGAAATGCTTAGTGACTCAGGGACGTGATGCAGCCCAGTGCTCAGCCCTTCCGTTACCACCAGCCTCACTCAGGGGACAAGCCTGGCTCTAAGGTGAACAGCTCTACAGGCTGTTATGCAGGACAATGCTCCCTGGGGCTGAGCAGAAAGAAGCTGAGGGGACATTAGACCCTGCCCTATGCTAGCAAATCAGCAAAGTCCTGTTTGGCTTCCGGAGAAGGACTGGTCCAGGTGGGAAGACAGCTTGAGTGTACAGCTGTGCACTGGCTATTGCTCCCATTGGTGCCTGCAGCATCTTTGG